TGCACATGTAAGCTAATTTATCCTCAGTCGGATCCTGTGATAGGATTTATTTTTCACCATTGTTTAAGGATCCTATTTGAATATTTTTCCCCTTATTCTCTTCTGCGACTGCTCCTTTACTCTCTATATTTTCACTCGCCACCGTCCACTCTGATTCTGAGTCTGCGTCGCTTTGTTCATTGACCGTTAGCTTATCTGAGTTATTCGTCTTGCAAGGCTTTTTCCTTTCTACCTTTTCGTTCGACTCGTCTGAATCGGATATTTCTATCTGCCATTTCTTTTCTCTACTTATTATGTTTCTCTCTCTTCTTGTCCGCATTTTGAATATTCGTGCGGATGGCGCATTTATGTCAGTCACCCTGACCATCTCTCTCCTGCTCTTCAGCAAGTTCATAGAACTCTCGTCGCGGTAGTTCAGGATTTTTATCTCCATCTTCTATAATCGGATTTCGGGACAGTGCATCCGGTGCCTTATTGGCTATTCCTGGTCTATAAACAACGTCAAATTCATAGCCCCTTAATTCAGCTTTAAGCCTATTTAATCTTATATCTGGCCTCTTTGATGAGTGAAAATGTTTAAGAGGCTCATGATCCGTAACCACTGTAAACCTTCTGCCAAATAGATAGGGTCGAAACTGCTCTTTTGCATACACTATCGCGAGCAATTCTTTATCGTAAGTAGGGTATCGAATTTTGCTGCCCATTAGGCATCTAGAGGCATACTCGCACGGATTGTCTTTTCCTATTTCTCCCTGACTCAATATTGCCCCAATGGCATAGTCAGATGCATCCGTTGTCACCACAAATGGTTTTTCTAGATCGGGTGCTTTAAGTACAGGCTCACTGCAAAGTGCATCTACGAGCGTTTTGAATGCTTGTTCATGCTGCTCGTGACTTTTCTTACTAACTCTACACATATGCGGTCAGCTACTCTATTGTCAGTGCTTCATGGAATTAAGTTGTTTTTTACAAAGTGAACAAATAAGCAAAGCCAATTACTGATGTTTTATATCATTTTTTTCTTAAATTATCTTTTGTTTTGTCCTCTCTACCTCGACGTTTAATTTGTAACTTGTATGTTAGTTACTTTCGTTTTACTATTTTAAATTTTAGCTTACTAAACATCTTTTTGCAAAAATAAGATCGCAAAGTTAATAATTATTCACGATTCTTTGAAAAAGCGTTGTTGAAAAAAATAAATTCTAATAGCTAATTTATACAGCAATGACAACATTGATTACATATAAATATATTTTTTGGTTCTATAGCATGCAAAGGAGATAAACCAAATAGAAACACAAGAGGAAATTCAAGCTGGAGATCAGTCTAATTCAATATCTATAGAAGTTTGGAAATCATCCCAAAACCAGAAGCAAACTTTGACCAGCAAAATAGTAACTCAACAAAATAGCACACAACAGTCGGAGAACACATCATTAACTCTTAATAATAAAAATTTCATGAATTTTGGGGCATGCTCGACAACTTCTACTTTGAAAAAAAATTTAAGTAAGCCAATATAATTTTTATTTGACATCTTTTTACTAGTAATTGTGTGCTTTTTGTAGTTTTGTGCGGGGCNGTTACTACCCGCCAGCGCTTTTCGTTATCTGGTCCTGCGTTTTTAGGTACGATCCACATGTTTGAGCTGTACGGTGACTCTGAAGGCTCTATTATGCCTTGTTCGAGTAATTTCTTAATTTCAACTTTCATTTGCTCTCTCACAGCTGGCGGATATCTATACCGCTTCGTTACTATCGGTTTATCCGTAGTCGTGTTTATTTTATGTTTTAAAAGATTTGTCGCTTTCAGTTTTCCCCCGTCGAGTCCAAAAACGTACGGGTCAACCTCTATAAGCCCTCGCACATGTTTTTTCTCTTCTTCGTTGCACCCCGATATGTCGAATAACTCCATTATTTTGTCAACTCGCGCTTTCCTGCAACTTAGGACGTCTGTTTTGATGTTTTCCTCAAGTATTTGAGTATTCTCGTTGTCACGGCCATCCTTGTCACAACCCTCGTTTCCCACGATATTTTTCTTCGTACATGTGCAGCTGGCGTCGTTTCTTATCTCGTTGCCTAGTTTTTCATTCTCTTCAGGGTTTTCAGTTTCTCTAAACATCCGTACAAAGGCTCTTCCTAATGCTTTTACGTCATCCCCATTGACGTCCGATAAGTCAGCTTTCTTCGTCGTCTCACACTCTAAAAATTCCACCACTGGGACTGGTACATTTATTGTTTTATTTGATATATTTAGACATTCGGCATACACCCTACCATTATCGTTGCCATAAAATTACCGAACAAAATACCCTCTGTAAGCTCTTGTAGTGGGACCCAGCCCACTTTAATTTTCCTGTGCGACTCTTTTATATACGCATATATAACTTGCCTCGTTTTCTGCACAATTTCAAAACTTTCTGATTCTCGTAGCGGAATTCTCCTTCCATTCAACTTAAGCGTGTTGTCTTCGGCATTACTCGGACCGTTATACAACTTAAAAATATCCCATCCCATCATTCCTTCCACCTCTATGGGAAAGTCATGGGGGACTACGTGTAGGGTACACATGAAGTTTTCTAGGAGTAATCTTATAGATCCCAAAGTTTGGCGAGCTCCGTGCGTTACGCCTTTTATTTTTAATTTTTCCCTACTATTTACTGCTACTCCAATATCGAGACAATTCTCTTTAATTATTGAAATTTTCGCGCCCGTATTGGCATAAAATGTCGCACCTTCGTTTATATAAGGGCTTTTTAGAATTACTGTGGGTGGTGTGTATCCTATTTTTGATAAATTTATTTTGACTGTGCGAGATAGCTGCTGCTCATCTTTTCCTTCAGCCTTAGAATTTTCACGCGTCGTGGCATAAGTCTCCGATACCTCATGCTTGTCATTATCCATACCCTCCTCTAACACTCCTAACGTCCTCTCATAAATTCCTTCATTTATTGCTTTGTCATCCCCGACGATTGGGGATCGCGTCGAACATCCTGCGAGTTTAAATGCCCGGTTTTCGAGCTGTTTACCCTCGCACTTTAAATATTAAGATTATCTCTCCTATAATCATCCCTGCGATTATCCTGATTGGAGTATTGGTTATTTCGCCTGTCCCGATAATCGTCCTTCCTGTGGTCATATCTATTATAATTATGACCTACTTTTCTGTCATTTTAACTGTTTCCGTCATAATTATTACTGTTATTATTATTGTTATAATAATTATTATTATCGTAGTTATATTTTCTTCCCTGGTAGCGATTCCCTTGGTTGTAAGGCCTTTTACCATTATTCCCTTGTTGTCGATCAANAATAATAATTTTTTCATAATTTATTGCACATAATGTCTTTCCGAATAAAATCAAAATTTTTTACTAAGTAATCACAGACAATGTTTCTTGAAAATAAAGGCTTCATAATAATAATCTAAGTAAAATTTGAAACTTCAATTTTTTTTTCTCAAAATCACTTCAAAACTAAAAAATTAAAATTTAAAGCCTTGGCTAATCAAAATCTATAGAAAGGATCTTAAGATACGATCATAAAAAAGGACGATGCAAAATCAAAACAAGTTTTATGTTCATATTTGGTATAATGTGAGAAAAATTTTTAAATAATTATAGAACTTTCCCTTAGTATTCTACAAAAAATCGTGTTTTTGTAAACAAAGAAATCGTAATAACCACCTTCATGATGTATAACCCTTCATTTCTTCCTGCACTACTATGAAAATGAGATAACATTAATTTGTTCAGTCACTAAATTATTCAAATGGACGAACGGTTTCTGAGATGTGACTAGTTACATACACATACTCACGTGCGCGCGCGCGTGCACAGTGTTCACTGTGTAACATACATAAAAAAAATAAATAAAAATAAAAATAAAAAAAAATTTTTTAAAAAACTGAAATGTTGTGGTAACTTAAACTCAATCATTTAGTATATTTCTCACCTAGGGAGGAAAAACAAAGAATGTCTCAGATCGCAGGCAATTGACGATAATAATTTATAAATTAATACGTATATAAACTGTTACGTAGGATTCTAAAGGTTCGGGGTGCTTAATAACAACGCGGCAATTAAACTCAATCAATCACTTTATTGCTATATTCCTTGGGGAAAGGCGCTTTGCGGTCCCGGGTGACTTATTGCGACTATCCTCCTTCTAGTCCCGACGTTCAAGGGCCTTTTGGCCGCTGCTGTGAGCCTTTTTATGCTCTCTCTTCCCCCACTTGTGCTCCTTCCTAATGCTAATAGCTAAAGCCCACCCCACGTAGTATGTTCCATACTGTACGTGACACGTCCGAGGCCGCTTCGTTTTCGCCCTCGACAACGTTCTTTTCTGTACCACCTCGGGAATGATTGTTTAGTTAGTGTATGTATCATGTTGTTCGTGTTGTAATGTATACTAATCACATAAGAAAAATTAATGAGGTGTTCCTATGAATATCCTCGTTAATTTTTCTTTTACAGACTTTGATTAGTTTTCCGCAAGTTTATAATTGTGTTATTACACATATTGTTCGTGTTTGCGCTCTTCCCTCTTACATAATAAATTGATAAATATGCCCTTGTGGGTCTTACTTTCATTGATGATTATTCAATTACCATTTATTGCTTATTATCTAATTTAATATTTACTTATTTACTTACATATTTTTT